CCAACGTAACGTTAACTTGGCTAAACCTAACCTAACCCCCCCCCCCTCAGGTAACGCTAGGGTATTTAAGTATCAGGTGAATTTTGATGGGATGCCTAATTTTCATGTGATTCATATTCATTCATTTGATTATTGTCGGTGGTTTTGGCATTAAATGACATAGGTTTTTTTTGTCTGTTAGATGGTGTGTGTGTGTGTGTGTGTGTGTGTGTGTGTGTGTGTGTGTGTGTGTGTGTGTGTGTGTGTGTGTGTGTGTGTGTGTGTGTGTCAGTCTTCCATATTCATTTTTTAAGTTTGTTTTATATTTCTTTGTTTAATTACCCTTTCTCTCATTCACTTACTCTGTTTAGTATGGCTTATCACTGTTCTCGTATGCCTGTCTCCGTCTCTCCCCGTCCCCCCGTTTATCATCATAATTCCTAATTCCTTCCCTGTTCACAAAGTGGGATCCAGCCGGGTACAACCTTCCCCCACGACCGCCAAACCGGAACTGGCGGATATAAACCTTATTTACGTAAACAATTGAGAGCCTGGCAGCGTGTTGGGTCAGCTCATTCTAGGGTACGGGGGAGTCCACCCTCACCTGAGTGTAGACAAGAGAGGTATACTCGTAGTTAGTTAGTTAATGGTAAGGGGAAGTGGTAGCAGTGGTGAAAGGGTGGTAATAGGGTTGGTGGTAATGGTGGTGGTAGAAATGGTGGTAGTGGTATGGCTGGTAGTGATAGTTGTTGAGAAGTATTGGTGATGATGAAATTAAAAGGAATATAGTAAAAAAAAAATACGGATCATTAACTGAATGATACTAACCATCAGTATCATTAACAACAACAATACTACTAATACCACAATGGCAATATTACTACACACATCTTACCGAGCCAGGTTCTCCACACACAAACAAATACAATATAAACAGTCGTCATACAGATTTTTTTTCACATTTCCATCATAAAAGATTAAACCAAGTAACAGTCAAGCAAAAACAACACCGATAGCTATGTAAACAAATAAACAGTTGCAGCTGGTTTATTTATCCAAAACAATAAGGAAACAAACAGGAACAAAATGACCTCACGGTATGACCATGGCTAGGACGAGCAGTGAGCAGCGCCTGGCGTATATTTCTCTCCTGTTACATTTATAAAAGTAACACCAGGCGAACGTTGTCCTGACTTACTACCGCTCTGTACTGTATCTCGGAGGCAGTGAGGAATTACTTGACTTATTTTATTTGTTTATTCTTGTTAGTTATTCCTTTAGGGAGATTATTTTAAACTGTGTTGTAGACTGGAGGAGGAGGAAGGGGGATAGGGTCCATGGAGATAGGTGTAAGGAGGGAGGAGAGGTTGGGGAGGACTGGGTTGGAAGGAGGGTTAGGAGGGAGGCGGGGTGAGAAGGGTGGCGGAGCAGGCAGGGGGGTGACGGGGTAGGGAGGAGGGAGGTGTGGTAGGGAGGAGGTAGGTGTGATAGGGAGGAGGGAGGTGTGTGGTAAGGAGGAGGGTGGCGGGGTAGAGAGGACGGAGGAGGGGGGAGGAGGGTGGCGGGGTAGGGAGGACGGAGGAGGGGTCGGAGGAGGTGGAGGTGGTGGGGAGGGAGGACGGAGGAGGGGGGGTGGAGGGTTGCTAGGTAGGGAGGAGGTGAGGAGGAGGGGAGGAGGTGACGGGGAGTTGGTGTGTCACGTGTCAGGGAGAACCTCACTGATGGAAGAGGTTCTAGGGAAATGGATTGCTGGGGAGTGGGTGTTGGGGATGTGCTGCTGGGGAAGGGGGTGCTGAGCTCCTAGGGGTGGAGTGTTGGCGACGGGGGTGATTGGGATGGGGTGTTGGAGAGCGAAACAAAAGTTATATTAAAAGTTATTGGGTACAAATATGATTTTTTTTTGTAAAATAATACAACCATCATTATAATACTCGGAATTTGTATACTGTTATGATACATTAATAGTATTTTACTAGTATTTAATTACAATGATGTTCAAAATTAATAAAAGTATATAAATTAAATGTATATGAATGATTTGACGAAATTAAAATCGCACACACACACACACACACACACACACAATAACAACACCGGCATCAACGTCACCCAACAACTACAGCGACAACAAACACCACCAACAACAACAACAACGCCGCCGCCAGACAAACAGGTTCTTATATGTAGTTCCCTACTAAAGGAAGGAACCCTAAAAAAACAGTATAAGGAACCCTGGCTGTACCGACCACCACAGTGTTGACTACAGCGCGGGCTGACACGATCCCCTGAGTCGAGTTAGTTGATATAAGGACTGTTCTTTAATACGATATTTAAAATAATTATGTGTATGTGTGTGTGTTAGAGGGAGACACACACACACACACACACACACACACTCGATATAATGAACGCTAGACTTACTGACAGTTTGATACAGTGAACGCTACACATCAACCGCCTCATACAGTGAACGCTACACATATCAACCGCCTCCTACAGTGAACGCTACACATATCAACCGCCTCATACAGTGAACGCTACACATATCAACCGCCTCATACAGTGAACGCTACACATATCAACCGCCTCATACAACCGCCTCATACAGTGAACGCTACACATATCGACCGCCTCATACAGTGAACGCTACACATATCAACCGCCTCATACCGCACATATCATACAGTGAACGCTACACATATCGACCGCCTCATACAGTGAACGCTACACATATCGATACAGTGAACGCTATCATACGACATATCGACATACAGTGAACGCTACTATCAACCGCCTCATACAGTGAACGCTACACATATCCGCCTCATACAGTGAACGCTACACATATCGACCGCCCCATACAGTGAACGCACACATATCAACCGCCCATACAGTGAACGCTACATATCGACCGCCTCTCATATCGACCGCCTCATACAGTGAACGCTACATATCGACATACAGTGACATACAGTGAACGCTACATATCAACCGCCTCATACAGTGAACGCTACACACGACCGCCTCATACAGTGAACGCTACACATATCGACCGCCTCATACAGTGAACGCTACCGACATACAGTGAACGAACGCTACACATATCGACCGCCTCATACAGTGAACGCTACACATATCGACCGCTGCACACATCAACCGCCTTATACAGTGAACGCTGCACACATCGACCGACAGTGAACGCTACACACACCCGCTACACACACCGACCGCCTAGAGTGAACGCTACACACACCGACCGCCTTATACAGTGAACGCTACATACATCGACCGCCTACAGTGAACGCTACACACACTGACCGCCTTATACACATCGACCGCCTACAGTGAACCCTACACACACCGACCGCCTCATACAGTGAACGCTACACACACCGACCGCCTCATACAGTGAACGCTACATACAGTGAACACATGACAAATTCACGAGATAAGAAACTCCAGCTACAACGAACACCGGATATACCAACCCTCAATTATAGCGAACTAGCAGATGAGAAGATGCATTGACTGCCACATTCAACAACTGCCTAATACAGTGAACATCCCCCACAGCGACCATACCTGATACAACGAATGCCCTCCACAACGGACATGAGATAAAGTCAAGCAGTAAGTACAACGCATGAGTCAAACAGCGAACTTCATTTAACACGAATTTCACGTAATGCGAATAATATTTACAACGAATGATATATATAGAGGAGTAAAAACATCGTATCTCTCCACCCCCCCCCCATCTCCTCGCCACACAACACGCGGTTCGAGTTAGCGAGGTTGAGAGGTATTGATTTTGGGGGTGATCTACTTGCGGGCTGTTATCAGCTTGTTAGACAGTCCAACGCCGCTAATGCTGACCTCACTTACCAAAAAGACCACACGTCCGAAATCTCAGAGGTCACAGGAGCCGTGAGATGAGGGTGGAAAGGAAGGAGGGAGGGAGGGGGGGGGGTAATATTATTTCCGTGCATTAAACATTCTAATTCGGTATATCAACACAAATCGTGGCCAACGCTTACATAATTCTCACTTGGTACTACGGAAGTGAGAGAAGAACAAAGTTAGGGAAAATATATGGATTAATATTTCTTTTCGTATCTATTAGGGAAAGAGAAAAAAGTTTTTTATTCCTTTAAAGGCACCAGACGTCAATCCTGTGACATTGTCGGACGTTTACCCATACTAGGTGTCAAGCAACAACATTTATATATTATTTTTAAGTTATTTTGCACTATCTATGACATTTTTACGTTTTAATATTGTTCCTGCAGATTATCTGATTGTTGATTTGCATCTCAATATTAAAATGTGAATAAAACGAGAGAATTAGGCAATATGTAATTGCATCCGGTGGCGAGATGTGGCAAGAATTTCACACTGTCCCGTTTAATTTGTAAGTTGGCAAACTTTACTCTTGCATATGTCGAAGTTATGATAATCTTCTCTAGGGAGAATGTACCTGCATGATTCACACCATAGTTGATATTAATATCTGTATTAGTAGAATAACGTGTGAATACGAGCGAGGTTTATCGAGCATATCCTAGTCTTTGACATCAGCACTGGCCTTGACACGTGAACCCTGAAGTGTGAGCTCATTTCATAGCCCCACGATCATAGATAGCTCGAAATACCTCTCTATGATCTTGTGGGCCTCAAAACACGACTCCGCAACAGGCAAAGTCGGCTTGTTTGTATGTTGTGTTTGGCCGATATAATAAAATCATGCAATCTTCACACTTTTGATGCCAGTTGTTGCTAGATACGCATTTTACCGTGGATTTTCTGAGGCGGAGGTACGTGGTTTACATGGTTTTTTACATTTGGATCATGTTTTATAAAATGAACTTGCAATTATACATAAAAGAAATTAAAATGGATATATTATTACGTGTAGAAAAATGATAAACTCCGCCCATCGTACTCTCGGCAGCTGATTGGCTGAGGGCCACCACTGAGGCTATATAAGTCCGGGACCCGTTGGCGCGATAGGTAGACCGATACATGAGTGCGGGAAGAGTACGTCGCTGCTATCTCAGGTTTTAGGACTTGAGAACTGTACCTAGTGCTTTAATAGACTTTAACCAATTTAGTGATCAAAATGTTGCCACAAAGCGTAACAGATCGTTCCACATCGCCCACCACAACTCAGGGAGTAATATTTGGATCTCAACTAGTCCAAGCAAACTCCAGAACTCCATACAGCGATGCTACTCAGGTGAGTGTGATTAAATCGCCTGTATTGCTGTAATTCTGCCCCGTGTCGATGATTTTGTATTACTTTGTTGTATGGGTCATGTGCATGAACTCACTTACGGATATGATACATCTTAGTGACGAATTGACGTTTAAGTTTGGTGTTACTGAGTGAAATAGAAACTTACACTCAACTCAACTCCACGCGCGCGTGTTAAGTCTCAAAATTTGGCAAAGTGCGTCAAGTTACTTTTTTGAAGTTTTGGTTTCTAATGACAGTGTTGTGCTCTAGAAGATGACAAGTGCATGTATCATGGACTGTTATGAAGTGCAGTGTTTTTACTGGAATGACAATTTTTTTAATTTTTTGAAGATTACATCTCAGTTCCCAATCACGGGACTTAGACAAAATGCATGTGTCAACAAGTTCTCCTTATCTGGACCATGTGTGTGTGTGTGTGTTAGTCCTAAGTCCTCTTGAAAATTACGGATAAACTGAAATACAAAAGTGAAAACTGTAATAAGCACCGATAAAGTGATTATTTACGTTAATTTCTCAGGATAAGGTGCAAGGTATCGTAAACCCAGTAGCACTCGCCATGTGATCGCAACGGCAAACTTGCAAGATAAATGATGCTTTAATGCAGGTATTTATTTAATATATATATATATTTTTTTAAGTGTTTTGAGGTTTGTTTTATTAACCTCAGTGCCTCTTGTAAGTGCACCAGTGATTTTATTCCAAGTGTTGATGGGATCAAATACGAGTTTGATTCTCACGTAGTAAATGTTTTAAAAAATATCTGGACGAGGTGATGAGTGAGTGGTGTCTGGGCGAGCGAGTTTAACCTGCAACATTTAACCCAGACTCTGCTCAGTTAATAAGTCATGGAAGATTTTCACGCGTACAGACTTAACGTGGATGAACACTTGTTACTCAAGAGTCGTGGTGAAGCACGGAAAATCTGTCGCCAGGAATCGATGAAGAACCCGAGGAGCCAGATTTCACCTGTAATGTTCGTGACTCGTGAAAAATTTGAATTTATTATATTACTTACATCTGAGCCATTTTCACGTCCTGTGAATATTGTTGGAACAGTGTGTAATGCTCACTCTTGCTACGATTTAGTGGAGTTCCCCCACCTGAATATGATGATTAGATTGTCGCTGGTAGGTGTGATTTCCCCGAGTTGATTTCTCTGGTGCACGGTGATTATTTTGACGTGTGACGAACCATGTTAATTAAGCTGATCTAGTGACGAATGTTATATACTGAATATGACAACCCTGACTAATAAGTGTGTGACAAGTATTCTGTCCAAACGAAACTGAACGTTTGGCAATCAGTGAAATTAGAATTCCCTTTACATCAATAGGTTTTGATAAGATTTGAATCTTGTGAGATACGTGGAAGTTGTTTTGGTTAAATTTACGTACATCTGTAAGGAAGCAAGTAAAGAATACTGATATTGTACAGGAAAGAGTGAAGATGATTTTTTGTTAAGTGAAGTGTTGAAATTGATATTAAGCGAGAGAGGAGTAGGCACTTAAAATTTTCATTAAGAAGATTGGAAAGTTGCATCAGTTAAATACAGTATTGTATATCAAGAGTTGCTATGGATTCAGTGATCAATAGTGTCGCAGTTCCTGTGTAAAAGAAAACTACTATTTGAGCCGTGTGTCTTGACATTAAAGTTTACAGTGAAGCTGATGACCATACGTAAGAGACTGATTAATTGGAGGTGACAAGAGTTAAAAGATTCTCGTATTTTTAACAGGTTAATTATTGTGAAGTTCGTTTTGATTAATTCATATAAGTGAAACCTGACCTCGTTGGTAATTCCTGGAAGTTCTACGTCATGTCCAATACCAAGGTGTTAGTAGTTGCTATCAGTAGGTAAACACACTTCTATGACTCACAGCTGTACGAGTCGATAATAAACATTCTTGTCGAGACACGAGGTGCAAGAATCGCATCGTAGTACAAGTAGAGAAAAAAATTATCTAGCCCAGGTTACAAAAACTGTAGGACAAGGCGATATATGGAGCATCTGATTAGTTTGGAGTGTCACTGGGCGTTTGGCAGTTAACCAAATATAGTTATTGCCGTGATTTACAGAGTTTAATGAAGTTATACCGAATCCTGCTCTACTTCATTTGTAATCTAACCTTTACGAAATTAATGAAATGGCTTAAGGGTTTATTTTTAAAGTGCTGAGACTTTTAGTTTATTAGAAGGTCTGAAACCAAGAAGTGTTATTCTACCCCAGTGTGTGGCTGGAGGAATAGGGTACGTGTGGTGGTGGTGGTGGGTAGGAGGGAGAGGGAGGGAGGAAGGACACCTAGTACCACCACCAAACTTGTTCTTGCTCGTTGTAGCATGTCACCAAGTGAATCATCGCTCACTCTAACCTGATTCAACTGGGTGTCTCACGTTGATGAGTTATAACTTGAAGATGCTACACGTTTGGTCAACTTACCTGATTATCTCGAGACTCAATTGAGAGGGTGAACTCTTAGATAAATTGTAAACATATTAGTTCATTTGTAGGCTTATCAAGTGTAGTTTTCTGATGTTTGCACGAGTTCAGTCTTTTCTCATTGCTGTTGGTGGCTCTTCCTTTGGTAGTAAATAATACAGATACAGTTTTAAACATTCCTCGTATGACTGTTGCGTATTTGGGTAATGTAGTATCGTGGATTTTTCGTATTGTGTGTTAATATGTGCGTGCAGATCACTGTTAGATCACGTCTTCGGTTACTGAAGTGAAGAAAGTTTAAAGGAGAGTCAGACGGTGGGTTGCGTCACCCGAGTAATGTAACGCTTCTTAACGGACAAAACTATTCAGAAGTAGGTGTCAATGTCGGTAAAGCTAAGTGAATTACCCGGCTGTGATCTCTCCACAATCGCTATATACCTTAGAACATTCTCGAGTCGTCCAGGCCCACCCAGCAACAACGTACGGTACATTTTGAAACATGACGAAAAATTCAGTTTGTGTTATTCTCACGGCAATGGGGCTTGTCCACTCTTCTTGCGAATTGTAAATACAAGCATTTGAAATCGAGTATATTTGAGTTTCTGTCTATTGAGGTAACCGAGATGTATTGGCGATTAGTAAAAGAAAAATACAGAAACGTCGACAAGATAGTTTTAACATCGTCTTCTCAGTAGGAAAGTAATGTTGATTTGTTCCAATTACCCGTTTGTGAGTGAAAATATATATAATTTTGAAAATAAAGTTTTTGTCGTGAAAGAATTTCATTATAATAATAGGCCAATGTAATCCTGGCAAATTAAATTAGAATAATAAGGGGTTGCAGGTATAGATCGTTTACACCTTGGCCCTTTTCAACAACGGCGAAGGTACCGTTAGTTGTGTCTGCTTCCCAAACAAACCTGTTGTGACTTCCCAGTTAAACATTAGACTTGATTTTAATCCTCGGGAACAACGAACCTGTACAATAATTAAACATTAAAAATACATCTCGCAATGTTGTTCATACAAGCTTGATAATGTTAGGTCATAAAAGGCCAGTTCGTGGGTTCTAAGTTGGCATGATACAGCTTTAGACCCTACTTTGATTTTTTGTTTTGTTTAGAGAACTTCTCGCTGGTTAAAATTGTGCTCGACAGTGATTTTGGGTCTTGGATACACTGTACACACTCAGAGGTGTAGCCTAGCTTGGTGCAGACAAGCATTTTAATGACCTTTTGTTTATTATTAACATAATAAACTGAGGAAATTCCTTCATGGTTATCTTTATAATGTTTAATGTTTTAATTGTTATATCTGACGTTCATTACTTTTACTCTCCACCACACTAGTGTGACCCAGTGACAACAAGGCTGTCGGCAGTGTATGATGGCATTAAAGATTTGCAGTCGATCCTACGTAGCATTTGGTAGGGTAGTGGTGGGGGGGTTGTATTGACAGTTAAATTTAGTACAGACTATATAGTGGAGTTTTTAATTCCAACGATCATTTGAGAGGATAGATGTGTGATTTGTTTAGATAGATTTAGAAAATAAGAATATTCTTTTTTAACTATAAAGCTGTAGTTAAATATGGGGGTGGCCTTGATATTCCCTTCCACTGATTGGTGGACATTGAGAACCCCTCACTTGTGTAGCTAACTAATGCAATATCTTTCTTGAAAAAAGGTCATATATATATATATATATATATATATATATATATATATATATATATATATATATATATATATATATATACAGTATATGTGTGTGTGTGTGTGTGGGATGAAGAACTACAAAGAAAGTGACACCTATGGCTGCCCGATGAGATACCATGATCATGAAAGGCAAGACTAAAATAAAACCGAAGAATTGGTTGGTGTTTATAACAGCCAAGTGTGAAGAGGACTAAGAAAAACTAGGAAAATAACTCGAATAGTTTCCCGAGTGAGTGAATTTATCCGTGAATTCAGTTGATGGTGGCATAGAAATGATGGAGATAGTGTCCAGAGAGATTCTGTTTTCGGTGGGCGAGGTAATAGAGTCGCCTGGCGCTCTAGTTATATGTGAAATGCGAGTAGGTGTGCTGTGGATAGTGGAGGATTCGTCTAGCCGCGTGGTGAGTGTTTCTTACCCAACTGACCCACCAAGCTGTAATATAAGATAACTTGGATAACCCGGAAGTGTTTTCTAAATTGAAACTGAGCGAGTGGTGATCTGTCCTTTGCTAGGCTGTAAACAACGTTTGTTTGGCAGTAAATAAGATGAGCGAGCAGTCTTAATGGTCAAGTTTGTCTTGACGATCTCAAACTTAGCAGCGACTCTCCGACGTTTTGGGCTGTGAGGAAATGTTATGTGAAATTGCGTCCAGGTTGTTGCTCTCTAATACACGTGAGAATTGTCCATTACTTCCATTCTTGATATTACCAACTCGACGTGGTGCACCTGGAAAGAGAGAGTGAGGCGGAAGAAGAGAGAGCGAGAGCGAGTCAGTGAGAGAACAAGACTGGAAGATAAGTTGATTGATCTTGTTGCTATGTAAA